TTGCGCACGTTAAAGATCCCCTGGTGGTCTAAAATCGATAAGAGTAGGCTTTAGCCGCCACCTGGGCAAAATTCAAAATTTCCTACCAACTAAAAGTATTAGGTGTGTCCCGCGCGCTCATATGACCTTATGCTGTTGCGAGCGCCGTAAAACCCCCTACTATAAAAAAACAAAAAAACATCAGTCACCCCCCCTCTGGGGCGGTGCCACTGACTGAAGTGTCTTTAGGCCATTCCCAAAGGGGGGACATTTCTCGTTCTAGTGCACAGTAGAATTGTAAATGGGTGGATCAAACAATGTCATGCCCTTAACTGTGCCTGAACTACAACAGGGAACTGCTGCTTTTTCTTTCCTAATCCTTACTATCGTCATTGTCCTCGACTTCTTTTGTATGTTTGTCACTCTTGTGACCCGCTCTTTCCGGGGTGCAGACTTTGTGCTGTTGAGGCTAGTGAGGTGAGCAGAGTAAGTCTGATTCCCTGTAGGGACTTCTCTGTTGACATCCACCCCTTGGCGCTCATATGACCTTGTGCAGTTGCGAGAACCGTAAAACCTCTACTAAAACAAACAAAAAACATCAGTCATCCTTATCTCTTTTTTCTTTTCTTTATATGTTACTCTCTAGTAAAACGTCTAATCTTTGGCCTTCATATGCATTATTCTTTAAAATCTGTTGAACTGTGGGTTTTTGGATCTTCTTTTTATAACCCTCATGATAATATATCACATCTTTCTTACATGGTGGTGAGAAGACACCGCTATTAGCGGATGGTTGGAGGGTGCCATTGGTAGGTTCTTCTTCTATATTGCCTTGTCTCTCTGTTATATATTTTTTAATTTGTAGGGTTTAAAATGAATAAACATCAAAGGTTTTTGTCTACTCCTTATATGACTTTATTATGCTGCAATTGCCGTAAAACTTTTATTAAAACTAAAATGTGTGAGTGGTTGGCGGGTGCTCAGGTGTGGTTTGCACCTTCTTTCCTATAAAAAAATGTATCGTCTCTATCTCCCCTCCTTCTTTTTTGTGTTTGTTACTATCTTGTAACACCTTTAGTCTTCGTCTCTTATATGACCCTATTGTGTTGCAAGTGCCGTAAAACTCTTACTAAAACAAAAAACCCCACTGAAATGTCTCCGTTTCTCCGCAGTTGTTTACATTCCGTGAGCAGGCCACCAAGTCCCGTCACTCCAGTGGCAGCACAGAGGACATCAAATCCAACCGTCCCGAGTCTCTCAACCAGGCAGATGGAGAATCGACCTCTGGACCCACTATACTTAAGGTAAGCTCAGATTCTTTTGTAAAACCCTTTTGATGAGTGAAAAGATTGAAGGACGGAGGTTGGGATAAACATGTGATAAATTAATGAATTATCTCTCATTTTATTGAATATCGTTGTGACTAGATAACTTTCCCATCTTAAAGTAGGAGACATCTTTATGACTCCATGAATGTTGTGTTTAGATTTGTCAGAGTTTAATTTGGTGTGAATCGAAATGTAGCTCATTTTGAATGCGGAGCTCTTTTTATGCTGTAAATGCAGAGATATACATACATGGTTTGTTTTTAATTGACTAAATACTGGTAGCTGTTAGATGCTAGTATGTGGATTTGTATCTAATACTGGGGGTAAGATAGGTTCTACAGTAATTGATTGTTGTTGAATCGGTGCCTACATATGGGCCGATGGTGACCTTTGCAAAGTGTCGTTTGTTGATGTTAGGTTTGCACTATTCATATTCTGACATTTAAGGTAATATCTGTTGTCTCTGTCTTGACTGACATAGTAACCATACATTTATATATTTTTAAAAATTTTGCTTCAGTGGCACAGTCTGAATGTGGTCTTATAACAGAATTTTCCATTTCAAAAAATAAATTAAGTTTATTTTGCTTATAAAGGAATTAATTTAAAACAGTGTAAAGTGTAAATATGTCTGGGCAGCCTTTTGTTTTTTTGCTATGTTGAAGTTACTGGGTGCTCCGTTCCACCAAATTTAGAATGTAACCATTTATTATACCATATGTTGGGTAAAGGGATTATTGTTTAGTGATTTTTGATTTCATGTAAGTCTCAACTCTATGAATGTTTACTTTTTACAAAAGTCTGTCACTGTCCACTTATCATGTCAATCTCAAGTCTATCACTGTCTACTTTTCACGTGAATCTCAACTCTTGTCACTCCACTTTTCATGTAAATGCCACTGTCCCCACTTTTCACGTAAATCATAAGTCCATCACTGTCCACTTATCACGTAAAACTTTAGTCTATCACTGTCCACTTCACAGCAACGACTCTCCAATGGGTCAATAGAGCCAGACTCTGACATGGGCCGTGTGATAGAGCTCCAGGAGACGGTGGAGAAGCAGAACTCTGAGCTGACCTCGACGCGCACCAAGCTACTGGAGGTCAACAACAAGAACACTGAGATGGAAGAGAGCTACGCTTCCTGTCAGAAGGAACTTGCCAAGGCTCAGGACGCTGTCAACAAGCTGCAGAGAGATCTACGAGAGGTACGTATGCCTTCCTAGCCTTCGGTACAGGGGTGAGCGATACCCTATCCCCAAACTGGCCTGCCTAGGACAAAACAGGTGCGGGAAACAGTGTATAATGCATAGGATGTCACTAATTGTTTTGAAGATGTTTCTGAATTAGATGCTTGTAATGACGAGGACTACCATGAGTGGAATATGGAATGTGATTCTGACGATCACCTGAATGTTAGTAATGTGTCGCTCAGAAGCTCAGGCAGAGGGGCACGGTATCATCAGGAGTTTAGGGCTCAAAAGGTTAAGAAGTTATACCCACTTATCTGGTGTCTCTCAGGGCAATGTAACGACACTCGTTGATGTTTTAGATGAAATTGATTTATTTGTTGAAAATGGCTGATGTTCTTTGTAATGAGACTGATCAGTGTGAGTGTGGAGCAATGCTTTGTGTATTGAAAATGACTTGTGTTTGTAGAATTGGAATTGACTGATGTTTTGTGTCGGGAAAGTAACTGATGTATATTGTGGTGAATCTGGTGTGTTTTTTAATGTTGAAACTGCCTGATATTATGTGTTGTGAGAGTGACTTGCGTCTTGTAGGATGTGACCCATCAATCTATATTTCGAGGTTTTAAAGAAAAAACTAGTCTTTGTGATTTTAAACTGACGAGTTGTGTGATGTTTTGTGTTCAGAGACTGATTTGATGTGTGATGTTCTGTGTTTTGAAAATGATGGACGGGTGTCATGAAAACAGTAGCCCTTTCTTAGAAAAATTTTGACACTAGCCCTTTTTAAAAATAAATTAACTCCCCTGTTCTTTCTTTGAAAAGTTTTCACACTAGCTCTTTCTTTAAAAAAACTTTCAGTCCCAAGCGCAGAAGGAAGACCAGGAGGAGCGTATTGCCACTCTGGAAAAGCGATACCTCAACGCCCAGCGCGAGTCCACCTCTGTGCACGACCTCAATGACAAGCTGGAGGCAGAAGTGCAGTCAAAGGAGAGCAACATACGCAGTGTGAGTAGTAGCCTGATGACCAGGGCTGTGCTTGAAAGTTTACAGACTTTTTTTTTCCAGCTTTGTCTTTACTCTGTGGTCATCTTGTCTACTCTTCATGGTCTGCCTGTCTGTCTTTTGATGTGGCTTGTCTTAGTTTTGTGCAGATCTTAACTCGTAAACTGTTCAAACCTGAGAAATGTAAGAAAAAAGTGTGTTTTTATGTATTCACCTTTCTGTCTTTCATGATGGTTTCATTAATAAGAAAAATGTTTAAGTAAAAAATTCACGAACAATGTGTGATCTGGAATATGTCAAGGATATAAAAATCTATAGACCGGTTCAGTTTTCCAGTGTCAAGGTTAGTGAGTTGATTGTCATTTGGATTTTGCTTTGCCAGATTGTACATTTTGAGTGAGATCAACCGTTGAAATGAGGCTAAAACAGCACCTGGACATGGATGGCTGGTGCCTCTATAAATAAATCATTGATGGTCTGGTCAGCCGTTGAAAATGACTTCAAGTATTGGAAAAAAGAATTGAGCGATCTAGAACCGAGTGTATGGATGGTTGGATCTCTTGTCTGGTCTACTTCTTCTGCTTCTTTTCAGAGCCGATATTGTTCGATATGTTCGTATTTTAATGCTGTCATTTATGTTTGTAGTCACCATTAACTACTGCTGAAAAAAAACATTCGCTCACTGGCTAAAAATGATGAATGTAGCAACTATCTTGTCTGTGAACGTTTTCTTATGTATATCTGATAGTTTAGAATGTTAGGGGGGGGGGGGGTTATGGTGTGGTCTGCTCTCTCTTCTTCTTTTCACCATAAATGTTGGCCGAAATGTGCTATGTGCACAGCCTTGTGTTATAATATCCTATACCATCACTTTGATGTATTTCTGGTTCACTATGGAGCCCAGCATTTGATCCAGTTTAAGCCAAAAGAAGGGCCAGAGGGGGAAAGGTGCCATGCTCACTTGACTACCAGACAGGTGTTTTGCCTTTCATCTGGGTGTAATGATGTGGGCGCACTTTGCAGCAAAGTTTTTAAAGAGAGCAAAGAGCAGCCGCTATGATAATGCGCGGTCTAGGAATACAAGTCAATAGTTGTGAGTGAGATGTGGTTTGTTGCTGTGTTGACTGACTTGGCTGTAGGCTGTGTCTTCGTCTGCCCTCTTGACTCCAAGCAAATCATGTCATCTGTGCTGTTATGCTCACAGGCTGTGTGGGTGGTTGGCGGGTGCTCTTGTGTGGTTTTCTCCTTCTTTACTATCTATTGTCCTTGTCTCTCCTTTTTTTCTTTGTATGTTGCACTCTAGTAACACTTCTAATTTTTGGCACTAGTATGACGTAATGGTGTTGCAAGTGCCGTAAAACTCTTACTAAAACTAAATCACAGGCTGTACCCAGGGATGTGCTGCTGCAGGTGATCTGCTCACGTTGAGCCATGAGCTCAGAGATGGCTTCTGGCACGCTCTTCTTTTGCTTCTCGTTCCTTTGTTGGTTGTTTTATTGGGTGCTTTTCTTCCCATTTTTTAAAAAGAGGTCAGTTTTCAAACATTATTGAGTTCTAGAGGGAATTAAGTTGGTTTTCAGCAGTATTGATTATTGTTTTTTGTATATGGTTATTATTTGCTTTTGACTTTTATATTTCAAATCATAATAGTTTCTATGTTGGAATCTTGGTTTGGTTTGGCAGCATTTTCAAGAAAGTTATTTTGGTTTTTCCATGATTATTATTTTCTTTTTTTTGTGTGTGTTTTGCTTTTAATTCTTACCTTTTGTGACTCTTTGGTCTGTGTCCTCTAGTATTTGTTTCAGTCAGCAGAACTTTTAGGGGAGCAGAATCAAATTTGTTTTCTGAACTCCCTCTTGATTGTTGACCTTTTTATTTTTGTCAATAGTTTATTGCTGGTTGTCAAAAAAGTTTGGCAGAAGACCAGCACATAGTGTGGTGTCAGTTTGGGGGTCCGAGGGTTAATGTGCACATAAACAGATGTCGCTGAAATGAAATTCCAAGATTTGTTTGTCAAAAGAAAAAGGTTCCTGTCCCAGAGCAGGTTAAGGCAACAGCTTCTGTTTATTTGTTGCCCACATTATTTTGTAGTGTGTGGGTGCCCCCCCCCCCCCCCCCCAAAACCACCCACAACACACACACACACCCACACACACACACCAAAAATTTTTTTTAAATCCTCCAGCTTCATGTTGAAGCTTGTAATGTGGAAATCCTAGCTTGTTTCTCCCTGGTAAAATATTATATTTTATGATGTTGAGAACTGAATATGTACCCCTGACTCTATTTTGAGCTTTTAATTAAATGTCTTTTATTTTTCCCATTTTCGAAAGTTACCCTTTTATTTGGAGCTGTATCTGATGTGTGGTTGACAATAGTGATTATTTTTTCCTATGGAGGAGTTTTATGTGAAGTGTAAAGCAACAAAGATGCGTTTAATTATAGTAGATATTAAAGGTAGAAAGTTGATTTTGATGAAGTAATGGTTATTTAATGAGTCACGACGCGGTGGAATCAGGCGCTCGTAAATTTTTGGGGCATGTGGAGTTATTGGTATCATCTGAAAGTTAATTTTTTGCTTTGCTTTCAATGAAATAAATATCCGTTTATCTGGAATAGAATTCAAAATATTTGCAATTGAATGAAGTGAGGTAACCTGGTTTCAGTGGTGAAATTAGAGAGAAAATAGCCGCCATAATTTGGTAGCTCCAATAGCTAAAGAGTCTCTGAAAACTGAAAACTGAAATATTCTGTGTCTTTAAACAATGTTTTCAAGTACAATTCACTTGGAAATGTGTTTTTATTTGGACCTAAGAGAGGTTGAGCCAAAAAATAAAAATTCTATAAAAATTTCCAAACTGGTGGAAAAATGCCAGTTTCTCGGATTTAGTTATTTTGACGGGGCGCCTGATTTCACCATGCTACCTAACAAATAGTAGTAGTTATGGTTAGTGGGCTGTATTTTTTACTTGTATGATTTCTTCAGTTTTATATGGGTTGTATGTGGGGAGTGAGATATATACCCTTTTAACCAAAGAATACCTATTGTTATGAAGAGCAAAGGGAGAACAGAAAGATATTTTCAGTTTGTTAGTGTTTGAGTGTTTAATCAGTTGCTTGCTTAACAGGAAGTTGAGAATGTTTCTGAGTGTTTGGGCTCTGCTGTGTAATAATATAGATCGTAAAGGGTATAGAGTTTGCTGTCGAGTGGGGATATGCATTATGCATATGCTGTTTGTATTCTATTATTACAGTGGAACCTACTCTAATAACCACATTGGTAAGATAATCACCTGTTCAAACGACGACTTTCCATTTCCTCTCTTTTGTACTATTTTTTTTACATTATAATGACACTGTTTTATAAGACGACCACTTTTTTCCTTGACTACGGAATAGATACTGTTTTTGACAGTTTTGACTGTATTGTCAATACAAACTGTAATGATGATGTGCCCTGTTGTGTTTGTTGTGTGCTGCAGGCAGAGGACAAGAACCGCTCTCTGCAGGAGAAGGTGGAGCACTTGGAGCAGAAGCTGGCACAGAGCCTCAAGAAGGTGGAGGCTATGCCGTCCATTGAGGCTGAACTACAGCAGCGACTGGAGGCGCTCAACCAGGTAACGTCTAAAATTGTTTGTTTGTTTGTGAATAATGAGAAGTACATCAACACAATAACCGGTCTTTTGTAAAGCATGCTGACAAAATGAGTTACTTCTCAGATTCAAACCTTAAGCAAATAGATACATCACGCTTATAGGTGAAGTCTTTACAATTTCTAAGTATGAAATAATAAAAGACAGGTTATAGTTAAAAGAATATTAAAGAAAAATATATTCATGACTTTATTGTTTCCAACTGTGTCTTTGGAATGAGAATATGCGATGACTGTGCATTCTAGTAAATAAGACTAATGAGTAATTGTATTTATAATGTGTCTTGTCTTTTATTCCCAGGCTGAAGAACGTCATGGCTCTACAGAAGAGAGGATTCACAACCTGGAGCAGTCCTTGCACGACAAGGAATCAGAGTTGCTGAGAGTGAGTGAAAAGGCTTTTGATCTCTTCCCCTCTATCTCTAACATATGTCCTAAGCTTGGCGAAAATATGATCTATTACTCTGAGCCCAACACTACAATGGGCTGTTGGGACAACACTACCCTGTTGCTTACCATCATAATATACATCAGCAGGGGAACTGATCAGATCAAGATGTGATAGTTTTGTATGTAGCATGGTGTTAGATGTCTTTTTCCTTCTCATTCTTTTTGTAAGGTAGATATTGTTTTTACAGTTGAACTTTTAGCTTTTTTTTTTTTAAGTTACGTCTTAGCCCAATCATTGAGACATTTTTCTGTTTCTGGTGTTTCCCTTTTTGTCAGATGTTAATTTATAGATTGAACTTCTGGCCTTTTTAGAAATTTATGTTTCATTTTAGTCATATCTCTATGACATTATTCTATTTCTGGTGTTTCACTTTTCCAGTCCCGTCAGCGAGAGAAGATGAATGAGGAGCACAATGTACGTTTGTCGTCCACGGTGGACCGGCTGCTCACCGAGTCGAACGAGCGTCTGCAGCTGCACCTCAAAGAGCGCATGACGGCGCTGGAGGAGAAGAACCAGCTGACGGCCGAGCTGCAGCGCATCACCAAACTGCTGGAGGACACGCAGCAAGAGAAGGTGACATCCCGATTTTTGAGTGCTGGTGTCTTTTTGTGAACCGGTTTCTTTTCTTTCTGTCAAAAGAAAATACGCAATGGCTGACTTTAGGTGTCAGGCTCAGACATAATTGGAAGACTTTATGGGGGAACCGAAAATCAGGTGCTTGAGACATAAGTGAGGGAATGTCATTTAAAAGTTTGAAAGTTGTCCTCCTGATGTTTACTTTTTCAAACTCTCCACCTGCAGAAAAAAACATTTACTCTCAATGAAAGGTACTTTGCCAGGCTGGCTTTGTGTTGCAAGCTTGGTCATTAACCTTGCTCCGAGGTCAGATACCACATTCACAGCACAGGACAGCCCCTATGTTCCTCAATCACTATTTAAGACCAGTCACTCTTACATCCATTGCTTTCAAGTGCCTTGAAAAATTGATCCTCTTAAATATTCTAGGTTGTGTTCATGGAAATCTAGAAACTAGAGAGGAACGTAGAAGATGCTATACTTGTTTTTTGTGACTCTATACTGAAACACATTTTAACATCTAAAAGTATACGAGGGAACGTTTTGTTGATTTTTCCTCAGCATTTAATACAATTCAACCACATATTGTCATTGAAAAACTTCTGAGTCTGAGAGTTAGTCATAATATCGCAGTATGGGTCCTGGAATTTTTGACAGGCAGATCACAATATGTGAAGCTAAACGACACAAAATCTGACACAATTCTTTGTAACACCGACGGCCCTCAGGGGTGTGTTTTGTCACCAGTTTTGTATACAATATATACCATCGATCATAGAAGTATACATAAAACAACATGCTTAATTAAGTGTGCAGATGACTCTGCTATTATTGGATTAATAAACCATGATGAAAAAGAGTATTTCGAAGAAATATGTATGTTTTTTAAATGGTGCAATTCAAATTTTCTAAGAGTGAACCTCTCAAAACAAAGGAAATGATTTTTGATTTTAGAAGCGAAAAACCAACAATCCCACCCCTCGTAATTGAACAAGAAACAATTGAAATCACGGATTCATACAACTATCTTGGTCTTACAATCGACAATGAATTTCCTGGCAAAACCAAGTAAACAATATCGTTAAAAAGGTAAATCAGAGGCTGTACTTTCTGAGGAAACTTAGGTCTTTCAATCTGAATCCATCCATCCTTCAGATATTCCACACCACCACACCACCACAATAGAAACTTTGATAAATTTTGGTATCACTTGCTATTTGTCATTGTCATTGTCATTGTCATTGATCTTTCATGCTATGCTGCAAGTCTACAGAAGGCTGTGATATTGCAAGAGTCTTTATTGTTTCATATGAAATATAAAATGTTCCGGTTGTGAGAATTTGACCGTGTTTCATTCTGTTTTGCAGGAAAGGATCAATGATGACTTACTTCGGTACCGGAAAGAAGTTGAGACGTTGCGTATGCAGATGGAACAGTTGATGAGGTACAATGTGTTGTTTGTCATTGCGCCCTGTACAGTCTGTAAAGTAAGATTTTGACTTACGTAGTGTCATCGTCATACTCGTCAGCATCGCAACCACTGTCATGAATAAGTGAAAACATATAAAGTGAGCTTTTCTTGGTTGTTGTCTTATCTCTAGTGTGTTTAGAACTATTCTGCCTGTGTTTTGTACACTGCGCTCTATTTGCTGCCTTTTCCTTTTCAAAGCTAGTGTTTTGTGCTCAGCTGTAAGCTTGATCTGTTGGTGCCATCTCCTCAGTTTACTGTGATATGTTGATAGAGATGTTCAACTTGTATCAACCCATACTTCTTTGATGGTTATGAAATCTGTGTAAGTCCTCTGTGATCATAATTTGATGTCTGTATTTTCAGGGCGGGCTATGCCTTTGAGGACAATGTATCTCGAAGACACCAGCGGGGCAGGGAGCAGGCTCTCAACGATGACCCCACCAAGGTGAGAAGATTATCATGGGGCATATATATACTCATTTATTTCATGGCTTAGCTCCTATGGTAGCAGGAAGGATGTAAGAAGAGTGATTTTCCCTTTGTCTTAGTTCAGCTGTTCAGTGTGAAGAGGCGAACATACCCCATTGTTCATTATTTGCCGGCACGAGTTAAACTAGCTTTCACACTTACTTTGTATTCTCTCTTTACACTTGGGTACAAAATCTTTTGGTATGCTTTCACTTTTTCGTGTTCTCTGCAATAGTTGTTAAGGGCATTCAATAATTGTTTTTTTCTTGTCTTTGCCATCCAGGTGAACACTCTGAATGAGCAGGAGTGGGAAAAACTGCAGCAGGCTCACGTGCTGGCCAACGTTGCTCACGCCTTTGACGCCAGCGATACGGAAGGCACAGATGACAGCGAGTCTCTTTTTGGCGGTGTTGACCTCCTTTCCCCCTCGGGTCACACGGGGGCTCAGACACTTGCCATTATGCTGCAGGAACAGTTGGATGCAATCAACAATGAAATCAGGTGGGGGGCACATTGGCTAATAAACTTCCCATGTTGTAGCTGATGGGGTGTTTTGTCTGGTTTGCTCTTTCTAGTCCTTTTCAGTGTTTTTGTTGTTGTCTTCATCTATTTCTGGTGAAATACAGCTCTTTTTGCTGACTCTGTGCAGGGTACGTCTTTGTCGTACTTTTTGTAAGGTTTTCGCGGTTAAAATAAAAGAGATGCAAAATTGACTTTGATTACGTCTCATTTTCTGTTGATTGATGTGGTATGGTCATTTTTGCCGAGAGTGGTTGTTTAAAATCATGTTTAGTTTTCTAATGGTAAAATTGTCCCACATGGAAGAATTGGATGTAAAGGAAATATTAGAGGTCCCCCCCACACACACACACAGAATGTTTCCCATAAAAGAACGTAGTATAGGTAGAAATTAATTTTGTTTATCTTCATGTAGAAATATAATTGCCAAAAAGATAGTAATTTTTTCACCGTCTTCATTTTCAGGTTAATACAGGAGGAAAAGGAGAGCACGGAACAACGGGCGGATGAGCTGGAAATCCGGGTAGGCAGTGGTAGCCTGGATACGTTGCCAGGCCGGTGGCGTGGGGGTTACGAGCGGTCAGCCTCTCCACCTGCTAGTGGACGCTCGACCCCCACACACCCGCGCTCTTCTTATCAGTCACGCGACTCTTTGCAGAAGTACCACACTGTAAGTTCAGGGTTGGCCGTCGTATGCCTCGTGCACCCAGTGGATTGCTGCGCGGAGACAGGGAGAACCTGCATGGGGTTAGGGGTCAGGGGTCATTGACACAGCTCAGATTTAGCTTATAGACTGGGATATTTCAAAGTTCTCTTTATGAATATTACCCTTTAAGCTAATAAAAAGAATCACCTGCATCTTTTTTAAAACCTTTCCCAACTGATTAAAGCTTTTTTGGTAGTTAACATGTACGCCTGCACGTTTGCCAGCTTATTGAAAATTTAACACAACAGCTTGATAACATGATTTACATATTGACTCAGTTTGACCAATTACGTCATTAAAGAATCTAGCTTTGATAATTGTAGTGTTTTTGATCTGTTCCCTTTTAATGTAGTGATACAAACTAGACTTATTTTTAATCCTCAAAAGAAATGTAAAGTTTATTGAGACAATTTGGAGCCATATCATAAAACCTTAAATGTTTATTTGTTGTTATAATAAATATGTGAAGTAAGCCAAGAATGTGCGGTTGTGGACAAGTTGAGCCCTGTGTGCTGGTCTGTGTAAATGTCTCCGTGCAGCCAATCCACATGGCTTGGAGCAACCACCCTGGATGTTGTAGCTCTGTGATGCTTGCCCTGCACTCCTGGACGTCACACCACGTGAAAGGCACTCTCAATGTGCTATTGTCCTTTTCGTTGTTTGTCGTTTTCTCTCAGTGTTGTCGGAGCATTGACTTCTTGGCATTCATGACCAGGAACTAGAATTTTAATGCATTATTTTAAAGAAAATTGATGAAATTTTCTAGTATGGAGCCCACTCTCTATCATGTAGGTCTTAGATGCCATGTGTAAAGAAATCTTTGTCTTGGAAGCGAAGACATACATGTGCACATTCCTAGGTTATACATCAAAAGAAAGCTAGAACTGCAACTAGTAATGTTTGAGTTGGACCTCATAGAAATTCTGTAATGTCACATCGCTGGAGCCCTGCTCTTTGTTATTTCGAATTTAAATGCCTTTCATTCACTTCTCAAGATTCGCATGGCTGGTTATGAGTTGTACCTTTGAATTATTTTTTTCTCTCTTAAAACGGTTAATTTAAGTCACTTTTTCACATCTTTTAGTCTTTGGAAGGAATTTTCAAAAGTTGCAGTTACTTTCTGTCCATAAAGTAAGATGTGCCTCTGACAATACTAGTCTGTATTTTTTTTTTAGTTTTGCAAGATTTTTTTGGCCTTTAATTTTGCTCTGTGTTTGCATTTGAAGTTCAGTTGAGTTAATGTGCAGATATTTTTGTTCAAAGGTTGTATTTACTTTTTTTTTTTTTAAAGTTTGGCGGTAGACTGTTCTGTAGTAGTTGTGTGTTTCAGTTTGATATGCTTGTTGTGTGTTGTCATTGTCTCCCCTTTTTAGCTCCATCTGGCAAGATGCTAAAAAAACCCAACTGACTCTAATGCTATCATGATGAGTTGTGCATGATTTTGAGTTTTCCTTACTCATTCAGGATGTTATTCTTGTGAAGTAATGTCTAGAAATATAATTAGTATGTCAGGGATATGTCCAGAAAGAGTTGATAATCCCAGCATGAAGTATGACTCCCTCACCTGCACATAGATTGTCATAATTAGAAACAAGAATGTGCACTCCTTTAATTTTCTTATCCTGGAACGTGCAGCTGGTGGTTTTTATGTTGTTTTCGGCAGACCTTTGTTTTCAGAGGATCTTGCATCTGTGTGTGCTTTCCTCATTTACATCATGGTCTGTTGTTGGCTTGCCTTTTGAATTGTTTCCTCTTCAAGCCATTTGTTCAAATGTGCCATTCGGTGAAATAGTCAGAGTGAAACGCTGCATCCTCTTCTTCAGTTTGCTTTAGTTTTTCTTTAAAGTTCTGACACTGCAAAATGATGAATTTATAAAAGATTTTGTTTTCTTTTTCTGTATTTAGTTGTTGACCGAATGTTTTCATTTACCTTTGTCTATGTCCGTGACTCATTCATATATATTCAGGAAAAAATGGAAATGTTTGTAAATGTATTAATTCTATTTTATATGCCTTTAAGTTCTTAGTTTTACACTTATTATAGACTGTTGACAGGAGTTTTTGCTTGATATGAGCCTTATCGAAAGAAGAAACATGATTTCAATAATGTATTTGGAAAATCTATGTTTTTAGCGCTATTAATGTCATTTGTTTTGGTTTCAAAAAGTATATATTGTTTCTTCTTTTCATGATTTAATTAAGGTCAGGTCATAAGGCTCTTTGTAATTTCTTTTTGAAAGTTATATTGACTATGGTGGTCAATTAAATTCAAAACAATATAATGTGAGTCACAGTAAACTGAGTACAGTGCCATTTTTATCTTTGAACGGTGTGTTGGACAAATGCAACACTTGAACTTTGTGGCTTGAGAAAAGTGTACTTTCTTTCAATTTCATGGTTTGTCAAAGCTTCTATCATAGCTTCATTGTACATCACTGTTCAAAATAGCGTATGGCGGAGTCTTACACCAAGCAGTTGGTATTTAAATTTGCTTCGTAATAATGAGTCTCGTACTTGTTCATCTGTGGACAGTTAAAAAAAATTTGTTTAGACATTTTTTTAATTTGTTGAAAGATTTGGTCTTTCTCTTTCCTCAGGCTCCTGCGGGTATGACGGCGCAGCTCTACACCTATTCTTCCTCCAGTCCACAGCTAGCCACAGCTGCAGACTCCAGTCCCTCAGGACAACAGGTTAGTAATGCCCACAGGGCCTGCGTCCTTTGGGAAAATCTCTGTGTGATAATCATTGGTCCTGCAGGGTCTGCTTACTTTATCTGGCCTGATAAAGCTGAATGCCTGATTGAATCGACTCAAGTCGAATATTTTTGTTTTTCTTTGTCAAATTAAACACAATTGAGGGGGGAGTAACTATACTGACGAGCAAAAGAAAGTGGGCACCCTACGTTCTGTGCATTATTTCCATTCTTTACCGTAGTAATTCCGTATTGCCAATGGATTTTGAAAAGCTTGCCATTTTTTTCAATAACTGCAGACAAAAAAAGTAAGAAAAACGATCGAAAGCACACCTTTTATTAGAAATTATTAACACCGATTCGAATGCCCAAAATCCCAGAATTAGTAACGGGTGTAACTCCGACCAGTATTGATGACTAGTGCATCTTCGCTTCATAGATTGCACATGTCTTTGGATAGATTGCTGGGGAATATTATTCCAAGCATCCATTAATGATTGCTGCAGTTGTGGGATTGTTGTTGGGGGTGGCCAAAGGGTGCAAATTTCCTTGTCCATCTTTTCCCAGAGGTGCTCAATCACGTTTAAATCTGGGGATAATACTGGCAACGGTTTTATAACATATACGTCGTTTTTGTTGTAAGAATCTCTGGGTAACAAAGGCACGGTGTGCTGGTGCAATGTCCTGCTGGAACGCAAGTTGTTCCTGTGGCGAGCCAGAAACGGCAGAAGGTGTAGATGGAGAACGTCATTGATGTATCTCTGGGCAGTCAGATTACCGTCGATAATAACTAGACAGAATTTATCAGTACTGGTTATGGATTCCCATACCATAATGCTACGTTTGTCAGCAAAGGCACTGACACACTGAGGTAAATTAATAATGTTCATGACATGTCTGGTAGACTTTCTGCCTTCCTTCGTGCCGATCCAAAAGAAATCTGGACTCGTGAGAAAATATCACTCTACTCCACTGGCGGTTTAGCCATCGCCGGTGCAGACGTGCCCAGTTGAGTCTGGCATGACGGTGTCTTTGGAGGAGACGAGTGCGTCGAGCTGGGTGTCGGGCAACGATTCCGTGGGCTTTCAAGCGTCGACGAACGGTGAAGCGGCTGATTGGTCTATGCCCAGGCCAATCTCTGACAGTTTTAGAAGCTGTTTGAAACCGATCCCGCTAGTGTGGAACTCTGATCCGATTGTCTTCAACAACATTAGTGACACGAGGACGACCAGACCTTGGAGTATCACCTACCGAACCACTTGCTTTGAAGTGTATCCTTAGCTTTTGGGTAGTATCTCTCATCACATTGAAAGCTCTAGCGAGAGCAGAGACCGTCGCATTAGCTCTCAGCATGGCAAGAGCTTCATGACGTTGCACATCACTGAGACTAGGCATCGTATAAAACACATTTGTAAAGTACAAACCCAAAATATTTGACGGCTTTTTCGCTGACACACGTTAAAGTGTGTAACGAAAAAAGATTAAAAGTAAAGGCATAGTTAACTTTCAAGAAAAATCGAGAAAACACGTTTTTTTGCCAAACGTGTTGTAAACACTTTTTATAACAACAAAATAAACAAATGTTGTTTTGACCGACTTTCTAAAGTGACTCAAGCTCAGCATGTCAATCGCCAAGTCAAAATTCGCGAGACGACTCATACAGCACCAATTTGAAAACTGCCCACTTTCTTTTGCTCACCAGTATATTAAGATACCAATATGCAAAAGTTTTTGGAAGGTTTCTGTTCGCCTTAATAGCTGTTGTAACAATATTCGACTCACTGATCTGTTTTTCCTTGCAATGAAGAACTGTTATGTAGGGTATTTGATAAGGGGTTTTGATGGAGTTAACAGTGCAGTGGTATAAGATTATTATGGGGCTATATCACAGGGACCATGTTGTGTACAGGCCAGAGACTGCTTGAGCTGATTTCTGTCTGTCTAGTATGCACTTGCTAATCAGAGTTCCTGCCTGACCCAGTTCTGTGGACTGGACTTTTGAATGGGAGTACATTTCTTTTAAGTAAATGTTCCCTTTTGACCACTGAGGCAACCAGCACCTGTGGTTGAATGATTAACCTTTTTCACTCATGTTCATAAGATGTGAGCAGGCGTCCCATTGGTGGAAGGTACTTTGTTGAGTACATTTGTATCCCTTTTATATGTTGAGATAAAATGTCCCACTATTTCCCTGGACAGGCAAAGCTGAAGCAGTCAGCTGTTTAAATCATCTAAATTTTATTTAAATGGGTGTAGAATATCTATAATTACCAATGAGGCCCAGAGAAGTGGAGCTTCCTGGTTTTCATAGAGTTGATTTTTTGCTTCTATAGCCTGTATGGCCTATCATATAATATAGTTTGTGAAAAATAGCAGACGAGGCATGTATCGTACAATCCTGTCTTATTTTTGCTCAATGTTGTTCCACAACCATGGACGTTTTTTTTTTCAGTGAGAGTTTTCATTTCGTGAGTATCTGGAATAAATTGTGTCTCCTGTTTTGAGAGACAATAGAAAATTAGGCTCTCTCCAGCATCAAAGTAAAAGAATCTGCTCTGGTTGATAGACTTGGTAGAAGGGAGGCAGGCCCTGGAGTATTTGCTTGAGGATTTGTCTGTGCCAGGCTTGGTACAGGATATTTCTGCCTGCTGTGTTTTTGCTATCTCTGTCTCTGGGTAGTTGATGGGTACTGTGGTGCTTACTGTGTCGTGTAAACTTCTTTTTAGTGTTGCCATTGTCCCAGTTAGTTTTAGTCTGTATGTGGTGGTTGTGGTGTTGACTTGTAATACACTTTTGCTCAACTCCTCTGGACTGGTAATATTCTGGACATGAGAGGGGGGCTGTGCCATTGTGGTTGTGTTTTTAGGCTCCACTATTGTTTACTGTTGTTCAAGCGTACTTGTAATGTGAGCATTTGTCTTTTATCACCAACAGTACAGTCGTGACGACAGCACAATCAACTCCAAAGAAGAATCTCGCCAAATCAAGTGTGAGTCGAGCCCACCCACCCCACGTGCCCTCAGACTGGAGCGGGTGGCGGCTGCTCTGGCAAAGAGCCCGGAGGAGACTGCCAGGTGAGTGACGCACCATGAGCTTTCTCCACAGAAAAGCAAGGGACCGGCTGTTTTAGCGATAGATGTGCATTATTCACAAACGAACAGAAGTACAGTCGACCGTGTCCAAGACGGCCACCCTTGGTAGAGGAGAAAAAAAGGTTGTTGTCTTATACGGGTGGACTTCTGGGACAGTGTCATTATAATGTAAAGAAAATGGAGATGCAGATGACAGGACATGATTAGAAATTTTTTTAAAGAAAAATTTTTTCCGTCACTGTCAGTTTTCGAACTCTGGACCTATTGAATGAGAGGCGAACACTGTACTTCTAGTCCACAAGAGTCCCCAGACTAGGTTTGATAGTACTTAAAGAATTTGAACAGATGGATGACAGGAAAAGAGAAGGGTGGTAAAGGTTTCTTTTTTTAGTGTGATGAAGTAGAGTACCGAGTGGTGAACCATGATTGTTGACATCTGTTTCATATCTTGCTTTTGGAGGAGAAGAAAATGAAGTTTACTAAGTAGTCCCACTCAATTGTTAATCACACCATGTACTAAAATGACGCTGTTGTTGATTTCAAAAGGGCCTGTGGCAAAAAGAATGGGCACTGTAGTTGTCAGGATGACCCTGACTTTGCTTGGAACTTATGACGATCTTTGTCTTTACTTGTAGAGGCACTATTTAAATATACCAGAGGCACAGATGTGTAAGTGCATGATGAAAAAATATTACATGCTGTACTGTAGAAATGGGCTACGCTGTTTCAGAAGTTGGCTCCTGTAAACGGATAAAATAGGAATTGTTCAGAAAGAATAAATTTTGTTGTGGGAAGAAACAAATTTAGGTATTACTTTTGTGTTCTTAATAATAAAGTTAAATGTAAATTTGGGGGCAGAATGACAATCCGATGTTTCCTGTTGGAAAATGTGTTAATGTTGCATAGGTATATATTTCAAATAGTCCTGGTGATTTGTCTGTTACATTATCTATGACTATTAACATTTCTTCAAATTTGCATTTATCTGTGTTGTCTAGTCTCAGTTCATCTTCTCTTTTGTAAGCTCATTTATCTCATTTAATCTTTTCTTGTCTTATCTCATTTATCTCATTTAATCTTTTCTTCTTATCTCTTTTGATTTATCTTGACTAATCTCTTCTTATGTTTTTTCATGAGCCTATCTGATCTCATTCACAGTATCTCATCTTGTTTTGTCTTATCTCTCTCTGTCTCTTTGTCTCTCTCCCCTGTGGCTGCAGCCACCTCCAGGACATCAGTGCCACGTCCTCCAACAGCCCCCTGGGCAGTCTACACAGCAGCCAGGACTCCCTCCACAAGCAGCTCCACCCACATCCCAAGAAGAAAGGGCTGAAGAGCTCGCTGGGACGCTTCTTCTCCAAGAAAGAGAAACACAAGCCTAAAGAGCTCCTGGCTCGGGAGATGGCAGCAGGTACGTTTTGGAGGGTTTTATGGGGGGGGGTCTGGTTTCGTATTTACGTTAGCAGTTTTTTCGTCCTGACTTTAAAATTCATTAAAGACTTACTTTATACTTCATGCTGACTGTTTAATTTAAATGGCAAATGTTTTTGCCGTCCGGGAAAATGTACTCTATTCCTTGCTTTCGAAGTAGTGTCAGAAGTACTGAGATATTATATGTTCCTGCTGTGGTTGGGAGTGGTGTAAAACATAACCTAATCGCTCTTTTTTAATCTCCCACATAAGCTTTTCTATTTGAGAAGTTATCACCGTCGTCATAATCCAGGCACACCTCCTTTACTTGAGAGTCAGCTTAAGAGTTGCTGAAGTACGCACATATACGTTGGTTTGAAAGTCTGAAACTATCACGATTTAGGCCTACTCATAGTTTCTCCATATCTCACCTCAGAATTGGTGTGAGAGCTTCATACGAATGCTATCAGCAGCTTACTGATTAGTGTTTGTACATGAGCATGAACAGTTTTCAAGAATATCAATGTTGACCACCCTTTATAGCTTACAAAAGTGAAAATGTCCACCCTTCAATTCTCATTTATCTTAGACTGACTCATGAGATGTTTTGCCGAAGAAAATGGTCACCATTTATTGATTCGTCTCCTGCATTTTTCTCTTGATAAATTGAATTTTGACAAATGAAATAATTGCGTTTGAAAAGATTTTGCTGGTCATTTTGTCGATGAGTTGGTGTTGTGACAGTTTTTAAAGACTTCTGTAAAGGCGTTGTTGTGTTTTAGGCCATTCCACTTAAAGTTGGTACTTAAGAAATAAATGACCCTGAGTATTCTAAAGTGTGTGAAATGTGCTTGACATGCTTCAAGAATGTTGTTCCTTTGATGTTAAGCTCGTTCAAAAGATGTACAATGGACTCTTTTTTTTTCTCTCATCATCAAGAGGAACAATGGAAATTTCTTGTTTAGCTGAGGTCTTACATGATAAAGCTTATGAATTTTGCTTTTTTTGTGGTTTTTTTGTTATGCTTTGAATTAATTTTTCATTGTTTATTAAAAGAGGCTGCTAAACTGTCACCACTGTGTCCATGAAATGTCTTCTTCATGTTTATTAAACATCTACAATCTTTTCCTGCGCATGAAATGGCTGCCTTCTTCTCTTAGTCATAAAATGTCTGCCTTCTTTTCATATGAAATGTCTGCCTTCTTCAGTGGTTTCTGTCTGTGTTACAGGTTCCTTCAATGACAGCGGGGAAAACAGTGGGTCTGAAATGGGCATTGGGTTAGGTCAGTCAGACTTTGACAGGAGAAAAAAGAAAAAGTGAGTATCTACCTCGATAGAGTTGTGTTGACTTTTTGTCCTTGTCTTGTTTATTGTTTTGTTCAAATATTGTGTGAGGGTTGCAGGTTGGGCATTCAGCTCAGAAGATAAGATCATAGCCCAGCACTTATAACTTTAGTTCCTTTATTTCTGAACCCAGGTTATACAAGAGGCCCTATTGTTCTCAGACAAGGAGACTGCCATTTAATTTATTAGTCTTGCCACTTTTGGCGCTGTGTTGTGTGGTTTGGGATATACCGTCAAAGTGAAAAGTGTACACAAACTGATGACCGGTATCTACGACAGTCATGCTCTGGGATTATACTATGACTGATTTGGGGAGGGAGGAGACAAACTACTCTTACTTGAAGATGATCAGTGGAATATCGTGTGTTTTAGTTTTGTCTCTAATTTGCCTATGTTTTAAATTATCTCTATATATTTTATTGCAACAGTTCATTTTTGCTTCACTTCTGGGCTCCAGACCTATCATTGAGTGGTACTGTTGTTGCATTGACACTTTGACTGGAATATTTATTGTTTAGAGAAGTGTGTACTCTATGAACAATGACATACAAAGAAAGTGTGTGCATAATGAACTGTGACGTAAAGAGAAAGTGTATTCCCAGTTGCATATGAAGTATTACTTTAGAACCACGCTCTTACTCAAAATGTAGTTTGTCTCTAACGTGTGTGTTTTTTCTATTTCATCTTTGTGTATATTATTGTTTTTACAGATGTGGTTAGTCAACTGTCTGGTTTAGTCTGTTCTGTCTCCCTCTTTCCATTTTTCTTTTGTTTTATTCTTCTTGTATCCCTCTGAGGTGTGATAAATTTGTACCAACCAGTAAACTACAACTTAACACCTCAAGAAAATTGTCTCTCAGCTATTGTTGTCATTGATGAAATTTTTCTCTGAAGTTGTTATCATAACAAACATCTTTTGATTGTCTTTTTCTTTTTTTAGATATGTTTTAACATTTCTTAGACACAAATGATGGAGGGGGCTCTTGTGGCCTAGAGGTTAAGGTGTTCGCCTCTCGAATCCGGGTAGCGACGGAAAAATTTTCTTCTCTAAAATTGTCTCCTTTCACCTACTTTCCTGCTCTCTAACAATGTTCTGTTGTCTGCTTTCGTCTCTACTTTCTGCCTCCTCCCCCCACCTCCTTTGCCCCCTCCCCTGGGCTCCTGACTCTTTCTTCAGCCTTTCCACTGCTACTCCTTGGCTCCTTCTTAATGCTGTCTTTCAGCCACACCCCTAGTCTTGTGGTAGAAAAGATCTACATCTAGCCATCTCGGACAAGGACAAAAAATCTTGGAGGTCGCGTGTGCTAGTTTTGCACATTAAAGATCCCTTGGTGGTCTAAAATCGATAAGAGTAGGCTTCGGCCACCACCTGGGCAAAATTCAAAAAATTTCCTACCATTCGAAAATATTTCATGTTTCCCGCACGCTCATGACATTATGCAGTTGCGAGCACTAAAAACAAACAGATGATGGATTCATCAATTGACTGCTGTTTGTTATTCTGTTGAACTGTCCTGATAAAGGAGGTGGCTGGTGGTGCTTTTGTTTAATGAGCTCCTTTCTATCCCATTTTGTATTATTGCCATTGTAACTGACTTCCTCCTGAAATATTGTCATTAAGTACAGATTTGGTAACTTTCCTTGTTTGACCTTTCTGTCTAAGGCACGAGTTGCTTGAAGAAGCCATGAAAGCCAGCACTCCATTTGCTCTGTGGAATGGACCGACAGTCGTGGCTTGGCTTGAGGTGAGCGGGGAATCCTTTTCAGTGTTTTCAGTCAAGAAATGATTTTATTTTTGTTTAAGTTAAAGCCCTTCTAGAGGAGAACCGGTTATTTAGAAGGCGAAACATTTGCATTAACTCTTTGAACCCCATCGGACGCTGGGAGCGTCCAGTACTAGTGACAACTGTTTCGTTTTATTTAGTGCTAGTTTTTGCTTGTTTTTCTGAACTATTCCCGAACCAAGTTTCTTTTAGTAATGACTAAACCTTTGTTTCTGCTATTTAGAAGTTGGAGGCAAGCTTTTGGGGTTATAATGAGACATAGTGCACTAGGTTTAGGTGAATGTAGGAAAAAACTCTGGGAGACGGTGGAAAAAACTCAGGGCTTAAAGAGTTAAAGAGCAAAGAGAAAGAATGAAGCCAGAGATGATAGACAGGTGGATACGTGAAAGTAAATATCTCATTGGAGAGATATGTTCATGTTTATTTGATCCTTTGAAGAACTGCACCTTCTGTTGACATGCAGCAGGTCTATTTGTTTACCAGACTCCATGTTCCTCCTGTAATTTGTTCTTATTTCTCTCTCACACACTGGCTGTGGGTATACAACAAATTTTTTTTGCAACCCTACTTCATGTTCTGCTTGTAATTTGCTGTTATGTCCCCCCCCTCTCTCTCTCACTTCAGCTTTGGGTGGGCATGCCTGCCTGGTACGTGGCTGCATGTCGAGCCAACGTGAAGAGTGGTGCCATTATGTCCGCTCTGTCAGACACGGAGATCCAGCGTGAGATCGGCATCAGCAACCCCCTGCACAGGCTAAAGCTGCGGCTGGCCATCCAGGAAATGGTTTCACTTACTAGTCCTTCAGCTCCAAAGACTTCCAGAACCGTAAGTACCTTGCTTATGTGGTTTGCACATTTATGTAATTCTTTTCTTGCACTTACTACAGGACCGACATCTGTGTTGTAAGGGTTAGCCTTTACGCCCTTGCCCGCGCAATACATGAGTGCTACTCCCGAGTTGGGAGGTTTTTATTAGAGTATCTGGTTCTGTCAGGAGGAATATTGTATCCCTCCAAGTAGCCCTGACAGGGAGGTTTGAAGCAACCTGCCTCTTAAATTGGTGTTTGTAGAGGTGTATAACATTAACTATTAATCGCAACAGATACTTTCTATCTGGCACGATTTATTTAGCCGCTTGTGCCATCATTACAAGACGTAGATTGCTAAATCACTTACACTGTTATCTGTCGGAAGGGAGCTGTACTTACTTCTCAGGTGTGGTCGCTTTTCCTGCTTCTTTTCTGTCACACTTTTTTGTCCCTGATCTGCTTCTGAAGCGGTTATAATGCTGGGTTGCAGTTAATTATTGCCAGTCTTTGCATTGATCTTGTGTCCATCTGTTTATTTCTGTATGAAATGACCTTCATTTATTTTGATATGCTTCTCTTTACTCAAACAGTTGCCATTGTCTTTTTCAAAGTTGTCACTAACGTGTCAGTTTGCTTCTCTTTATTCACACTTACTAAAGGCTGCTACAATTTCCCCCCCCCCAGACTTTGGCATTTGGTGACATGAACCACGAGTGGATCGGCAAAGACTGGCTGCCTAGTCTGGGACTGCCTCAGTACCGCAGCCACTTCATGGAGTGTCTTGTTGATGCTCGTATGCTTGACCACTTGACTAAGAAAGACCTCAGGGGTCAACTCAAGATGGTGGACAGCTTTCACAGGTAGCTGGCACTTCTTGGTTTGGAATTTTGGATAAAATGCATTGCACACTTAATTGTGTTTTATAAACTGCTGTTTGGAGTTATCAAGTGTAAATATGTTATTGATGTCTCTTTCGGCATGATGTAGTATTATTTCTTACGAATCATTACTTATAATACTCACCTGCTTCTGAAGTTTTAAACTTAAGTATGAAGAGTCAAATGTTAAGTCCTTCACTGGTGTCTGTGGTGCAGCGTTGAGGCACTTTGCTAAAGCATGCTGAAGATTGATTGCTCTTTTAACTTTCTGTGAATAGTCTACATATTAAAAACGATATACCACCCCCCCCACCCCCCCCCAGGGCAGTGCCACTGACAGAAGTGTCTTTAGGCCATTCCCAAAGAGGGGATATCAAACTGTTCTTATGCACTGTAGAATTGTGAATGGGCTGATTTATCAATGTCATGCTCATACTGTGCCGGAACAACATATGGGGAACTGCTGCTTTTTCTTTCCTCATCCTTACTGTCGTCATTTTTCCTTTACCTCTTTTGTATATTTGTCACTCTCTTGTGAACTGCTATTTCCAGGGTGCCTTGATAGTCGAAGCAGACTTTGTGCTTTTGAGTCTAGAGAGGTGAGCAGAGTAAGCCTGATTTCCTGTTTGGACTTCTCTGTTTACATCCACCCCTTGGCGCTCATTTGACCTTATGCAGTTGCGAGCGTCGTAAAACCTTACTTAAACGAACATAAAAACAATATACTCTGAATTTCTTTTTGTGTTTTGTCATGGCAGTAATTTTCTTTTGTGTTGTGACGTTTCGCATTTCTAGTTAGTTAAAGAGCAGCTGCAGGTACTAAACTTTCTTACTTACTCTTTTCAGGACCAGTTTACAGTATGGTATTAACTGCTTGAAAAAAATCAATTATGATAAAAAGGAGCTGGAAAGGAGGAGGGAGGAAAGTTTGGCGGATGTGAAAGGTGAGATCTGGAGATTTTTAGAATACTTGACAGGTGCTGAAGGTGACATGGCAGGTCTCCTTTAGTCAATTGGATCTTAACTTTTTCCATTCTTCTTCTTAGCTGTTAATTTTTGAATTGTTAATATTGGAGATGTGTGTCTTGAAGGAAGTGGGTGGTTTGTCTTTTTGTTTGAGTCCAACGGCCTTTTATGAAGAGATAATCTAAAGGTGAGGAACTGGGGTCAATGGTAGAGTAAAGAAGATGGGAGAAAAAAGAAAACAAGGCAGCGATGGCATTGTGAAATGATTTTACAAATACACATTTAGACCTAGAACTCTTTATTATGAGAGAGGGTGCATCACCTATACATGTACAGTAGGACAAAATCGAAATTTTAAAAAGTTTGTTTGAGGGTTTAATGCCCTGAGTGGGAACCCGTGACTTATTGGTGCCAGTCTTTTATTTATGGGCCCGGTGACTTGTCATTTAACAGGGTACATCTAGCTCTGGCTATGTCATTCAGAGGGGCAGAATTCATCCACATAGTCCCTGTTAGACTGGCCTACTGTCTCAGTCAAAGCCAAAATTCCAGACTGAAGAATTGAGAATTCCATGCTAAATGACGGCAGAATGGTTGGTGTTATGTCTTCTGCCATAGGTTTATATTTCAACGTATATGTTGACTGTTGTCGTTAAAAATTTTTTGTTGTTGCTTATCCGTGCTATAAAATGAAAGCTATTTTGTCATAATTGCTTCTCTTTCTGCCTTTTTCTCTGATTCCCCTCCTTCTCTTTTTCTCTTTCCCCTGATGTGAATTGACATGAGTGTTAATCTGTCAACATGTTGCCTGTCTCTCTTTTCTGCTTTTTTTTGTTTGTTTTTGGTGCTTTTTCTCGATATGAAATAAGTGTCATCTTGTCAACAAGTTTCTCTTTCTCTCCAACAGATGTGCTGGTGTGGTCCAACGAACGTGTCATCAAGTGGGTGCAGAGTGTGAACCTGCGAGAGTACGCCAACAACCTGCAAGAGTCCGGCGTGCACGGGGCTCTCATTGCCCTGGACGAGAGCTTTGACCACGCAAGCATGGCTCTGGCCTTGCAGATCCCCACACAGAACCAACAGGTGAGACTCTGCTTTACTTTACATACCTTTTCAACCTGCCCGCTCCTCATCTGTTGGTGCTATGAGATAGATTGGTAAATCGAAATGTGTCACTTCACTGTTCTGTTGTGTTCTTAGAAGTTGATATTACGAATTTAAAAAACTTTTTCTTTCAACATTGTGAACTGAATCTCTCATGTTGTGCTGGCTTGACCTTGTCTACAAATAACTCTAACTTTCTAGATTTGCTCTTGGAAACACCATCTCTTCCATTTCTCTCCTCCTTCATTTTTTGTAGTCCTACCCTTTCTCTCTTTTTCTAGTTTCTCCATCTCTTCTTTTTACCCTCTTTTATTAGTGTTGCTGTTTGTCCTTTCATGCTTTATTGAAAAAAGACCCAACTTCTTAATCCATTTAATTGTATGAATGCAATATCATATCTGAGGCATTGTGGTGGAATCAGGCACTCGTCAAAATAATGAAATCGAAGGAACAGGCATTTTTCCTCGTTACGCAATTTTTATCAAATTTTTGTTTTTTGGTTCAACGCTTTTTATGTCCGAATATGAACAGTTTTCAATTTGAATTTTACTGAAAAATGTTGATTAATGACACAAAATAAGTAAAGTTTTAGTTTTCAAGGACTCTCAAGCTATAAATGTCCAAACTTTGGCAGCCGTTTTCTCGATGATTTTACCTCTGAAACCATGTTACCCTCACCTCCTTGAATCGCAAATATTTCGACTTCTATTGAAGTTAAACGGGTGTTTTTTTCTTTGAAAGCAATGCAAATGAATAAGCTTTCAGATGATACCAAAAACTCCACATGCCCAAAAATTGACGAGCGCCTGATTCCACCATATATTTGTTTTAACATACTAAATTTTTTACGTCTTATAACCACAGGCACGGCAGGTGCTGGAGCGGGAATTCAACAATCTTTTAGCCAAAGGAACAGACAGACGATTAGAAGAGGTTAGTGGCATCTCTTTTGCACTAATTTATTACCATTGTTTTCCAGGACCTGAGAGGGCCTTTGAAGGATGTGCTGCGTAAATGTTACTCCGATTTTAGACTGCAGCCTCCTCCACGCTCCTCATGTTTTTGTTTCTTGTCTGCTCTTCCCCTTCCCTTTCCCTTCTAGGCTTCGAGCAACTTTTCTCTGTTGTACATAGTTTGTGGTCCTCGTGTCATGAGAATAAATTAACTCCCAGTCCTGTGTTTCTACTAAGAAGACTATTACTACTATTAGATTTAGGCTGATGCTCTCACAGTACTGAACTGTTAATAACATAGGTATAGGCTAATCTTTTCGTGTAGAGTTTTAAGTTGAGATTTTCTGATTTTTTATTTTTACATTCCACCACATTATTGTGATCAAATACATTTGGAATGCCTGGAGCTGCTGATAGGTCGAGGAAGTAATTTAACATGCATTTAGTATTTTGATTTTATTTCCTACAAATCTGTAATATCCACAGTGGCTATGGTGACTTCAATGACTCTTAATGTGTGGTCCCTTCCCCCTACACCCCACAGTTCTGATTTGCTCACATTATGTTGATCATTTTTCCTCACCTCACTCATACAGTAGATTTATGTTGGGTGTGTAACCAGTACATATTCTCAAAGAAGATGCTGAATGATGGAAGCAGTCTTTGCTAATCACCCCCATATGCATTGGAGCATGCCGTGTGTGTTATATCTGGGTCATAACCAAAATGCTTTAGTTGTCACAAACTCTGTTGGAGACGCCTGTGACAACAGAGACCTTACAGAATCTTTGTTCCAGTCTAAATAAGAAACAAAAGCACAGGACTGTTGATGAGCAAGTCATTGAACACAGCTTTTGTGCACTGGAGGTAAAAGTACCCCTAGGTTTTCACTCTTTTTTTTCAGTAATCACACATTTATACGAGAAGAGAGGCGATGACCGAAATTGTCAATAATGAAGTGGAAGACCATTTGTTAACTGAGAAGGAGTTGCACGTTAAAAGAAATCAGGCTTTTGAAGTTTTGATTTTGAAATTATTAAAATTAACAGGATATAGATAGATATAAAGGTGAAAATTTTAAGTTAGTCTGTGAAAGAGAACAAGATAAAACTTTACGTAACCAACAAGATATTGAGTTGTTGGGCAAAATTCTAAGTGCTGCCAGTGTAGAAATTGCGACAGCGTTCACTTGTGAGCAGGTTATGATATTACAATTTTGGTTGAATGATGCTCTTATTTATAAAGAAACCTGGCTCCACAAAAGCTTTCTGGAAATGAACGTTTGAATTAAATTGTCTTGTGTAAGAATGTTTTTTTTATGAGACAAGTGTTGTTACTGGTCTAGCTCCTCCCTGGCCTTCGCCGTTCACTAAAATGCCATGAAAATGATGAGGTGGCAAACTGGGGTAAAAGTTGATCTTACTCAAAGGCGAGAGAAAAGGTTTGGTTTAGTTTTGGTTTCTGACCAAAAAAAAAAGAGTATTAAAATCTGTGCTGATTGTCTTATGTAGGTTGCTGGATGGTAGCTGTACCGGCAAACAACATTCACCCCTGTATTGTATTAATAACAGCCAGTTGATCCTTGTGGTATCCTGACAGCTAATTGAGAATGGGTGTAGTGGTGTAATAACTCAGCTGCAAGCGCTGTACTGTTGCTGTTGTGTGCCCAAGTGTGTATCTATTGTGTTGTGATTCATCACCATCATGTTCCATTCCTTCACTTCTCCTTTAGAAATGCATACTTTTTCTGTATAAGCCATCATCTTTTCTAAGTTTTTCATGTTATGTTTTTGTTTTATTAAAAGTTAAATTGTGTGTGTCTATGTCTATGATTTGTGACGATCCCCTCTGGGGTAGGTCGTCCTGTTTTTCTCACATCTTGCATGAGATTCTGCCTTTGATGTTAGTGCTCTCTCTGTGAAATGAAGAAGATTGTGGACACAGCAACCAGTGTGTGGAAGAAGTTGTAGCTCTTGATGTATGTTTGTATATATGAGTATGTGTGTGTGTGTGTGTGTGTGTGTGTGTGTGTGTATGTGTGTGTGTGTGTGTGTGTGTGTGTGTATGTCTGTTTATGTGTGTATCTGTATGTAATTGGCCACTCTAAATTTGGAAGGGCTGGCAAGTCTGTCAGAATGAGAATATGGGGGGCTAGTGACTTTCGAATGACAGGGTCGTAAGTCCCATCCGTTCTGTTTTTGAAAAATATACATGTATAGACTTGAGATAGAACTTTCTCTGGAGTGACTGAGATGGAACAATTACTTATATACATTTGTCCTTTTCATCTTGGTCTGCCAGATTTGGGGTCTGTAAACTGACTGACCTGACACACTTGCAAGAGAAAGAATACGCAGTAAAAAAACAAACAAACTATGGTGTGCCTATCTCTGTCTCTATTTTGTGGAAAAACTGGACTTACAACCTATATGTAGGAGATGGTCAGTTGTAATGACTGATCTGTATACGGGGGAATTCTGTGTCTGAAAGTTGTCATTATATTGAAATGAGGGTTTTCCAAGTAAGCTTATGTTGGAGTGAGAGTTGTCCAAGTGAGATTTGTGTCCTGGCCAGCTTGCTCCCCAGTGTTTTTTCAGTCCATCTCCATCAAATGTTATTAGAGCTTTTGTCTTGCTTCATGCCTTTCTCCTTTAGTTCTCATTTTGGTTTTATTTATCATTGTGTGTATGTGTTTAGGAAAGTGTGGTTTAGGGGTGGGGGTGGGGTATGATTGGGAGGGGGGTGGTCGGATGTTATTGTTGTTTTCTGTTTTCTGTTCAGTTATCACATGTATTCTATTTTTGTTCTGTGATCAGGCCAAAAACAAACGCAGATGAAAGCAGCTAAAGGTAACTCGTCCACACCTCATTGCCTCATACTTACCTTCTCGATGCAGGTCATATCTATCGTCTCGACCCCCTCACCCCTCCTCTTCTCTTTCTACCAAGTCCCCGATTGTTTCTCAGCCTTTTTAACTGCTGCACTGAATAACACCAGCTCCCCATCCCCCCTTTCCTCCCCATAGAAGCCATGATGTGATTGGTGATGGTGCACCTCTGTGTGAGCACGGTCTTGCCTTTGTATGTTTCCCCTCACTGGCTTTTGTGACCTCCTTCACACTGTTCTCACACAGGGATGAGCATCCTCACGATCTGAACAAATGCTGATAATAATAATAATAATAATAATAATAATTATCATAATTATCATAATTATCACTATAATTGTAAATATAATGATAATAATGATAATAATAATAATAATAATAACAGTAGTAATAATAATAATAATAGTAGCAGACATTTATGTAGAGCTCAATCCTGATTAAAGAACACAGGCTCTGAGCACTTAAAAAATACAATAGCAGTGCTTAAACAGTTCATTGAGCTCTGACAAAAAATCTCTCTCATTATATATATATCTTGTTAATCTAAACACAAAGATGACTTAAACTGACATTTGAATGAATGAAAAGATTTGATCTCTCTGAACTCTTTATCTCCGGCAAGTCGCTCCCAGCGTCTCGCGGTCGGAACCACTGTGCCGGTGAGCCGTTGACAGCGGCTCGGGCGCATTCCTTCAGAACGGCTTTGACATTAAATTAATTTTCAGCAGTTGCTGAAAACAGTTCTCCTTTATCGGGATTTCATTAATTAAATGAAGAACTATCGAAATAGGTTCACTTGTTTTGATTTAATCACCAATTTAGTGATGATTTTGTCATTTTTAGATTTAGTTCCAAAAAAAGGGCCCAGGCATAGTGGGTTTATCATTCAAAGCATTCTAAAACTTGAGGCCATGATAAATGCCTTTTCGCTCATTAAGTTTCATAGATGGTAAAGTAATTTCTTTTTGTCAGCTGATGCTTTGATAAATGTGATGGTGCATTATCATTCAAGCAATGTTGATTTTTTATTCACTGTGCCTTCTTTAAATGCTAACGTTCAGGACTTTTATTGAAATAAGGATAATATGATTTCACTTCAAGTTCAGTGTGTGCTGGCTTAAAATCTAGTTTAACTCTTTTAGTGCTGAGTCACTTCCATGTACATTTGTACGGACAAGAAAAACGTTCTTTCAAGAGAGGTTTCAACATGGCCATATTTTTCCTTAAAAAGAATAAGCAACTGCTCAAGTTGTTATTTCAATTTGTAAAATGTCTGCTATCCACCTGTAGAGGGAACCAGTTTGAGAGGTCACAATACATCTGCACAGCAGCGAACTGATTAAGGATCTCGTAGACAGCTGTGCCTGTTCCTACCTCATTATTAAGTTATTCCTCTATTGGTTTGATGTTAAGTTTTGGAATTTTTTTCTAGAAAACCTAGTTCATATGAAGAATAAAAATGAAAGAGCAATAAAAGCAAAAGTGGAGAGATAAACAACTAAAAAGCCAATTGAAAAGAGACTGTAGAATAGTGTTGGAAGTCTTTTCTCCCCATTCAAAGGCTCACAGATAGACACCAACCTATGAACCAAATTGGTTCCAGCAAATTAATAAAAGTTCTCGAGAAACCTTCATAATTAAACAGCAGGTTTTTCTAGCAACTCAGTTTTGTAGTCTTGTGTGTTGACTATTGTCTAATTTCCCTAGTTCTGTAGCCTGAAAGATTGATAGCAGTAGTAGCATAGGAATAATTTCTCCAACTTTCTAATTCAGACTTTCTAGTGTGTAATATGCGTCACTCCCAGAGTCCTCTCTATTTTCACTTTCAGAATGTTCTTGGTGGGTCGGTCTTCTCCGCCTTTTTCTGTTGTGCTTGTCCATTGTCTCAGCCCAACATTTTTCTCCTTCTCACAGTGTAGTTCTCTTTGTATCACTGTTACCTCTTTGGAGAGGAAGTAAACAAACAACATAAAACACCATTAAAAATAATTTTTGACACTCCTCTCAGAATTATGATAGTTCACAGAAAGGTAGCTAGTGATGACATTTTTGCCCGCTAAATGATCTGAATTGCGTCAATGGGGATGCAAAACACCTTAGTTTTATCAACTAAATTATTATTATTTTTTTTAGTTCATGGCAAGGCAACTAAATGAATTTCTTCTCGAAGAAATTTATTGCAAGTCAAATTATGAGGAGAGGAAGGAAAAGTGTATTTGTATGGGATGAGGTGTACATGTCTTGGGATCAGACATGGGGGGGGGGATGATGATGGATAGCTCTGTTTTCTTTTCAGTTAACATTTCTTAACTGTTCTACTGAATATATTTCACGTCATGTAGAAGAGTTAAGAATATTTTTGCCAGTCAGAAACAATGTGTAGGGTATATGAGTCATTAGTTGTCAAGATTAATGCCCATTCTCTGTGGAATATGAAAGTTAAGGATTTTGAATAAGGAAAGTATAACTGAAGATTGCTCGCTGATGTGTCTGTGTCTCACGTGAAAGTTCTCTGTGGAAATGGTCGGCAACCTGTTTTCCTTCACAATTAATGTCGTGTTCTTCCTTTGCACATGATCCTCACTCGTTCCAAGTTGTCGTTGGTATAATTACTTGCAACCTTCCTAAGGTTTTTGTGATACCCCTCTGGTTCATTTTCACGTCATCGTTTACTTCCATGAATGTGCCCCGTGCAACTCTCCTCTCTCCTCCCCCCCCCAATAAAACCAAAAAAACCCCCAACTTAAACCCACACACACAGAAAAGAAACCGTCAAGGTATTTAACTTTTGTAACACTATCGAGCTCTCTACTGCAACCGATTTGTTGTCCTCCCATATCTTGGCTGCCACTATATGTCTTGTGAAAATAAACAAAACACATTTCATAAAAAAAACACCTAAATTTAAACTGGCTTCAATTTAGAAAGTGTAGACAGAATGAATATCACTATTTATTTATACAAGTTGTTAGGAAATAGGCGTCTGGAAAATCAGCAACCCCCCCCCACCCGGAGGTAGACTTCAAAAGTGTGTGTGTATACCCGTTTATTCTGTTGCGAAGATCATGAGATATTAGCCTTTAACTATGCCTCTGCCTTTTCATAGAAATATAGTCTTTGTGTATCACATCATTAGTCATTAGCCCTTGCCCTTCTCCCTTCCCTCAACTACTCTCAGTACCATGACTACACCCATAACCAAAACCCACTCCGTTGAAGTTGAAGCGTTTTGTAGTTTCTATTTCTGTTGCCCCCATCACGGCCAGTCTGGCTGTATAGTACCACAAGACAGACTTAGAAAGGTGTTGGAAGGGGGAGCACAAATTGAGGGGGACCCCCCCCCCCCAACACAAGGGTTTGCATTTCTTTTTAGTTGTGGAAAAGAGCCACAGAAACATATGCTTTCATCTAGATCTTTATGTGTCATATTCATTTTGGTGTGCTGTCATTGACCTTCTTTTTTGCCCTAACCGGTGGGCCAGCTGCACTAGCTTTAAAATAATTATCAGCTTACACAACTCTTTCTAAAACTCCCTCTATCCTTAATAAAAAAAACCCAAACCCCCCCCCCCCCCAACCCTACTAAAGAAGCAAACTAAAAACAAACATATCACCCCCCCAAAAAGAAAATAATACCCCCTGCCCCAAGAACTACCCCCCCCCCCCCCCCATCCCAAACAACAATATGCCCATCCTGAAAAGAAAAAGGTGGGGAAAAGTCGCTTGATTTGGCAGGGGGGGGGGGGGGGGTAACTTTAGCTTGGTCAAGGATTTTTGTTTTGTGCTGTGTGTCCTTGATGACCTCGCTGCTGCTGCTGCTGGTGCAATCTGTGCTCAGATGGCCTCTCTCACGTTCTGTATATTTTTATAGTGTCCTATTTTTCCCTCTTTCCAAGACCCACTTTGTTCTACTCAAAAATACTGACGTACACCTGGAATTTTTGTGGTGATGGACTGTTGGTTTGGTCTGTTTGTTCTGTTTTGTGTAATGGTATCTTGTTGTCTCCCTTTGTGGTGGAGGAATTTGTTTTGTGCTGAGAGATTTGAAATACTTGTATATTTACTGTCGATGGCCAAGGCTGTTGCCACAAAGTTTTTGCCTCCCTTTATGGTAGGGAATTTGTTGAGAGAGATTTAACTATAACAAATGTAATTGGGCAAGGTGGCTGTCACAAGCTTGTAGATCTAGAGATACTTTTGACGTGTGAAAAATTGAACAAACATCCCAAAATAATATTATTTTGCACTTAAATGTCTTCAGCATAGAAGAGCTTTCTCCGGGGTTAATTCGACCCAGTGACCCCACAACCTTTGGATGAAACTTGTAATATTTACTTTTGGGTTTCCTAAAAAAAGAAGGAGCTAAAATGGTTTTTTGCAAATATATAACTGATGCCAGGGAATTAATGCTTTTATCACTGAATTATCGTTTGCTTTTCAAGTAAAGGTTCTTTGGTTGTTGTGATTTAAACTTTTTTCTAAGAGGGTTTCTTACAACTTTGAGTCTATGTGGGTTCGTATTATTTGGTGTCGTATTGGAAGAAAAAGATTCTGTGAAGGAAAAGATTGCAGGTGTTTTTGGGCTCCACTTTTATAATATGTCTGTTTTCTATGTCTTATCTGTGAATTCCGTTATTGACAGGTGTTTTCCATGGGTATTTGATTGTACTGCACTGCTGTATTTTATGGTTTTTTTTTCTGTGTTTGGTTTGGAAAGTAATCTTTTGTTGATGCTTAATTTATTTTTGTGTTTTCTTTATTTCATGTGGACCTTGTGGTGTATGCTCTCTCCTCTGTGCTTGCAGTTGTCTGAGATATTGTGCTTGCTTATCATAACATTTGTGACTGTAGAGAGCCTTGTAAATTTCCAAGACCCTCTTGCTTTTTGAAGCTACTAACATGGCGGATGTCCAGTGCAGACACTCACAGTTAACCGCTACTAACCTGATTTTATTTTTAGTGAGTTTTGAGTTGCTTCAAAGGAAAGGGTAAAAATATATCCTGGAATTTGGCTTGGACTGCTCATATAAAATATTATATATATGTATAACAAATGAATATGTTTGTTAAGTTTGTCTAGAAAAGGTCTTGTGATGTAATAGTTTGTACCATTTAACTTTGTCTCCTGCCCACTGAGTATTATTAAGATTACTTGTAAAACAACTGTTTTTTGTTGTCATACGTGTGTGTGTGTGTGTGTGTGTGTGTGTGTGTGTGTGTGTTTGTGTGTGTGTGTGTATGCGTGTGTGTATTTATGTATTTGTGTGTGTGTGTGTGCATGCGCTGCGCATGCATGCATTGTGTGTGTATGTGGTATGTGTTTGTTCATTTGTTTGTGTGTGTGTGTGTGTGTGTGTATGTGTGTGTGTGTGTGTGTGTGTGTGTGTGTGTGTGTGTGTGTGTGTGTGTGTGTGTGTGTGCAACTATCATGTTGGGTGATTGGTGGGTGGTCTGGTATGGTTGGCTCCTTCTTTCCTATCCTATCAAACTTCTACTGTCTATATCTCTCCCCCTTTTCCTTGTATGCTGCCCTCTAGTAGCACCTCTTATATTTGGCACCCATGTGACCTATTCATGTAACAAGTGCCATAAAACTGTTATTAAAACTTAAACAAACAACAAAAAACTAAAGTTAGAGTACCCCCCGGGGCGGTGCAACTGACTGAAGTGTCTTTAGGCCATTCCCCAAGGGGGAACATTAACCTGTTCTTATGCAACAGAAGAATTGTAAATGGGTTGATTCATCAATATCATGCTTGTAACTGTGCCTGAACTGCAACAGGGAAGTGCTGCTTTTCCTTTCCTAATCCTTACTATCGTCATTTTCCTCTACATTTTTTGTATGTTTGTCACACTCTTGTGACCCTCTATTTCTGAGGTCCCTTGAGTTATAGTTGAAGCAGACTTTGTGCTGTTGAAGCTAGAGAGGTGAGCAGAGTAAGCCTGATTCCTTGTAAAGACTTCTCTGTTGTCATCCACCCTTTGGTGCTCCTATGACCTTCTGCAGTTGCGAGTGCCGAAAAAACTCTACTAAACTAAAAAAAAGTTAAGAGTGTCTTGCACTTTTGTTAGGGAACTCCCCATAGCTAGAATGTGTCTCATAGCCTTTTTTGGGGGAACACCCCTGGCTAGAATCTGAATGTGTCTCAGCACCTTTATCTGGGAGCTCTCTTTGCTTTATTGACTCATGCTTTGTGCTGATGGAGATCCGTGTCGTTAGACTGAGTTACCCTCTTGCCAGGTGTGTGTGGCCTGTGAATCTGACGAGACAAACCCTGTAAAAGTGTAAAAGAAGCCATTCATATTGGTCTGACCTTTTGAGCAAGCCATGTTAGGGTTGATACTTTTTTCTTTTTGTTCAGGAAGATGTTAAGACGATTTCATTGATCTCATGTCAGTTATTCACTTACTCGCTGTTTGGTGATAGTCAAGGTTATTAGGTTGGTGATTGCTGTGATCTTGTTTCTTTTTTCATGATTTATTTCTGTACTGCTCTGTCTTCAACTCCTTTTGCCCCCATCTGCTCCTGGCATTTTAGTAACCTAGTGATTAATGGTTGTGTTTGTTATGCCATACAAGTTATCTGAGGGCAACTGAACCTACCATAAGAATTTGTGTTTGTTTGTATGTGTGTGTGTGTGTGTGGGTATGTGTGTGGAGGGAGTGTGTGTGTGTGTGTGTGTGTGTGTGTGTGTGTGTGTGTGTGTGTGTGTGTGTGTGTGTGTGTGTGTGTGTGTGTGGAGGGAGTGTGTGTGTATATTTGTTTGTTCGTTCTCCAGTAACAATTGTCTTCTCCTCCTTGTCGACAGGGTGAGGGTGGGAAATTCCGTCGAGCTCCGTCCTGGCGCAAGAAGTTCCGCAACAAGGATAGCAAGAGCGGGGAGGAGGGGGAAGCGACTGCGGCGGGTGCGGTGCCCAGCCCCCCGGAGACCTACGTCCACTCTTCCCCGCAGCACGCCCGGCGCAACACAGCCTTGGCCTCGGCAGCGGCCGCAGTGGCAGCAGCATCGTCAGCGTCGTCGGTCGGTGTGGTGGTGGGTCCCTCTGTCTCCCCCGGGGCCCCCAGCCCGGCCCCCGCCACCTCCGCTCCCCCTCTGGTGCTGACCGCAGGCAGTGCACCCAACGACCCCAGGAAGCCGGGACCCAACGAGCGACAGTGCTGAGACTAGATCCGGGCCAAAGCCTGGCTTATGGGGCATGCAGCTCTCTCTCTTTCTCTCTCTCTCTCTCTGTGGCAGCCTGGCCTGTCCACAAGGCCAGTGGAGCTATGTTTACCTGGGACTGTGTGCGTGACTGTCATCATCTGCTTTCTGACCCCGACATCATCATTGTGTCCACTGAAGCCGTTTACACACAGTGACTGACTTACTCATTATCCCCAGCCCAGTTGTGTCAAAAACCAGTTGTGAGCTTCGTCGTTTTACTAGTTATTTTTTTGCATTGTATATTTTTTGCTCTTTCTATTCTTTCTCATGAAGCAACCGAAATTGCTGTGTTCTTCTCTTTCTTTCTCTCTCTTGGAATTATGAATGGAATGGCTGAAGTGCCTGTGTTGTTGTTATTGTTGTTGTTGTAGTAGCGGTTGTGGCAGGACACTAGACACTCTAGCACTACCCAGGTCTGGTTTAGTTGTGAAACGTAAAGATCTGCTTGTAGTTTGCGATGTTTAGTGTGCCTGCAGGCCTGTTCTAGGACCCGGCCTCATCCTTTGTGGCCTCCATACTGTGTCTGCTCTGTCATGGACTATAGGTTGAGTACAGCTCAGTATTGTTAGGCTACCACCTTGTATTGTTCGTCATTTGAACATGTTGACCTGTAGTGCTCTCTGTAATTATTGCCTAGCTGAACTGTGTCATGGACGAAAAGTCTGGCCTCTGGCTCTCACTCTCAACTCACTTTCAACAGTGCATGATCATCATTAACTAGCAGGTTAGGTAGACCTATGTCCATGCAGGTTAAGGTTTACAATCTCATCAAATATATCTATTTGCATAGGACATGATTAATTGTAATCAAACCAGGTGAAAATATGCAAAATATTCTCCGTGTGCTGACATTTTTTGCAAGGATTTATGAAAGCAGACTTTTATAAACAAAATATCCGACGTATTTGGCTAGTAATTTTGATCATGGTATTGGTATTAAGAAGAAAAAAAAGTTTTTTTGCATAGTATAAATAAAACAATTTATGTTTCCACTTACTTGGACGGACTTTTATTCTATCAAAATAGTTTTATTCAGCGAAGATATATTATATCCTGTAATTCACAAACTGAATACACTTCCAACAGGATACATCAAACAAATGTTTAGTTCGTGGGTGGGGAAGTAAAAAAGAGCTTTGGGGCCAGTTTTTCTCAGCTCTTACACTACTCATAGGAGTGTAGAGAAAACCGCTCCGCTGAGTGAAATTTCTGGTTACTGAGTCGGCGACTAGGGTTCAGATAAAGTTGACACTGCCGTTTATATATTTCATTTAGTTGTATTTTGTCGCCTTTTTACCTGTTGGCCCTCAGTGCTCATGGAACAGTTGGGCTGTCAAACACTGAGTGTGCCCTGCTGTGTGTCCTCAGACTCACACTTCCAAGACTTTTCCAAAAGGGAATAAGTTCACTGTCAATGTTGACCTTTTTGGGGGATCTTGAAAAAGGTTAGCACTTATTGTACCAACAACCTTTGATAAATGCCAGGTACTGTACATTGCTCTCTAAAATTCTAGTCCGGATGTAGAGAGAGAGATTCAGATAATTGCTTTACTTCTATGTACATTTCATAAATGTTTGTATGTGTCTGTGTGTGCTTGTGTGCGTGCATGGGCGCAGTGTGATTTCTTGGCTGGGAAGTGCCAAGTCCTACATAAAGAATTGTGATGAAACTCCTCTCTAGCTCTGGGTCATTTTAATTACTGCTTGGCTAGATTTGTTTTCACTATTTTCATCCATCTCTTTCTCTTTTTGATTCTTCTTCTCCGTGTACGCTATTGCTGACCCGGCGTCATCTCATCTCTGCGACTTCTGAGTGAGGAGAGGTGAGGTGAGTAAGTCGTGGACGGTAGTGTACTTAGACTTGCAGGATGCTGATGGTGATGTACATAAACTTCCTAACGAGGAACTCGTGTATTTATTAAAGCTGTTATCGTCTTGAGCTCGCGAGCGCTCTCCCTCTCAGTTGAGAACTGTGACACCTAGCAAGTGCAATCTTGGTGCATGTGGCCTCACAAATTGATCTGGTGATGTCTATGATGATGATGATGATGATGATGATGATGATGATGAATACATCCCCAGTGGTTTTGAAGCCTCCAGTTGTCTACATTGTGATTGCTGTTCTGTTTGTGATGCTGCTGTGACATGGGAGTGAGTGATGTGGGTTTTTTTGTCTGAATTTATTGAGTGTTGGATGAATGTGTGTGTGTATGTGTGTATGTATGTGTGTGTGTGTGTGTGTGTGTGTGTGTGTGTGTGACAATTTGTTTACTTTTACACACATGAATGTTCTTGTGGTGTTCCCAGTTCTAGACCGTGATTTTTAGACATTGCTGCTTTTTCTTAAACATAAAAGGACAGTTGTACTAAGCAGTTACTTTACTATGGGAAGGACAGAAGTTGCTTCAGATCCCTTTGATTTGTATGTATTTATTATTCTTATATTGGTTGTGCTGTTTTTCTCTCAGACTGTTTCAGTCACAGGAGTAAGGGGACTTTAAGTCCTTTGGAGGAAACAAGTATCACTCAATTTTACTATTTATATATTTTTTATTTTTAGAATGTGTTTGGTTTTTTTGGGATTATTTTGTTGTGAGCAGACTTGTTCATCCTCAGGGTAAGAATAATGTAACAGACCATACTAGGGGCTGGGATCCAAACTCTGAGTATACAGTTTTTCTAAAGTTAACAAGAAATTTGTCTGCGTTATTGACTGCAGAATGTCTACATTGCAATGCTCGCTCCCTGGTGAATAATAAGTTGATTTTTTTTGTGTGCGTACTGGTGTGTTAACTATGTTGTTCATCCAGTAAATTATTTTGCTCGTGCAGCTTCTCATGGAAGTGTTGTTGATGGCATGAGCTAAACCATGGTTGTGAGGGTTTCACGCAACTTATTACTGTCTGTTTTTCGCTTGTATGATTGGCCATAGCGTAATCACCTGCTGTTATCTGTTTCCTGACTCCCCGAGTGGGAGCAGAGATAGACTGGGCTGACAGTCATTAGTGATGTAGTGGTTTGGGTACTCCGAGGTTGGAAGCAGTGGATATGAGTTCAGTTCCCCTCATTACAAACCCCCCTTCCCCTTCCATGGTCACTGTGGACTGGATGCAAGCTGCAAGTATGGATGGTCTCACATTTGTGCACAATGCATTTTCAGTTGGTTATGAGCACCCTGTTTTAAGAGTTTTAGGTTTAAGTACCTTGAAAGAGATACAGGGCCAGAATATCTCCAAACAGATCCATGTCGGTCATATTCAACCTCGTAAGATCCCACAAGGTGAAGCTAATTCCCCATTGTGCACACATGCCACAAACAAAAGTCCACCGAGAAAGTGGTGCTGAGCTCAGTTTTCACTCACTTGTTCAGCAGCTTATGTCCCGGGAAACTTGTCCATTTATTTCACATTGGCACTGTGTGGAGTAATCACCCACTATTGTTTGTTCCCGTACTCCCCGAGTGAGAGCGAAGATAAGAGTGGGCTGAACAGCATCGGTGGTGTAGTGGTTTAGGCACGTTGCTGTTGGAAGCAGTAGACATGAATTCAATCATGGCTTTAGGAAGTTAACTTTTATCTAGTCTCTTGTCTTTCTGCTGGCATGCATTGGTTCCCCTCAGCATGGGTTGGGCAGCACGCCTCATAAATAGTCACAAATATGATATGTTGATGGAGATGTCAAACATTTACAATCTTTCACGAACTTGGCTGTGTATGTGAGAAGTGAGAGTTTGTAGTAGGCACTTGTGCTAGCTAAACTAGTAATGCAATGTAGAAAATGTACCGGGAGTGCTGAGGGGATGACTGTAAGTGGTACACCTCTCTCTGTCAGTCTCGACTATCCCATGACAAGTCGTGTATCTGTCAGTTAGTCTGATCATTGAATACATGCAGCTAGTCTGTAAAACCCTTCTACCCCCCGGGGCGGTGCTACTGACTGAAGTGTCTTTAGGTCATTCCCAAAGGGGGGGACATTTACATGTTCTTATGCACAGTAGAATTGTAAATGGGCCGATTCATCGATGTCGTGCTCATAACTGTGCTTGAACTGCAACAAGGAACGGCTGCTTTTTCTTTCCTAATCCTTACTATCATCATTTTTCCTCTACTTCTTTTGTACATGTATGTTTGTCACACTCTTGTGACCCAGTATTTCCGGGTGCCTTGATAGTGGAAGAAGACTTTGTGCTGTTGAAGCTAGGGAGGTGAGCGGAGTAAGCCTGATTCCCTGTAAGGACTTCTCTGTTGTCATCCACCCCTTGGCGCTCATATGACCATATGCAGTTGCGAGCACCATAAAATCTCTAGTAAAACAAACAAAAACAATAGAACTCTTCAGTATGAGCAGTGTGTGTGTGTGCACGAGTCAGCTGAGATAAGTGTCTGGCAGTAGCACCAGTTTGCGCCCTCCCTCCCCTCCCCGTAGTGGGAACTTGAGAGGGAAAATGTACACATTCGCCCTTCCTTTTCTTGGTGTGTGTATTGTTTGTGTTATGATGTGGAGTAGTAGTCCAATGAAGGTTCGCCCCTTAAATAACCTAATAGTGTTGATAGGGGCGTTAAACCCATACCATTTCAATGAAGGTTGTCAGCTTTGTGCCACGCCCCCTAGTTTTGAGTTGAAAGCTGGAGTACATGTACAATTGTACTGTGTTGAGCCGGAATGTGAGCTGGAATAGATTGCTTTATGTCATGTAGGTAGTTTTTTCCCTGTCTCTAGTTGTTTAGTTTTTTTAAGTAGCTTTTGAAATTATTTTTTCTTTTTTCATTGACTTATTGAATGTGAACACCAAAGGCAGCAATTGTTTTAAAAAAAGATTATGTACGGTAAGGCTTGCTTTGTCCCCGTTTGGCGCTCTGTAAAGACTGCGCTGTCGCAGGCTGGTTCTTTGATCGGTCAGCCGATGATGTTAAAAAGACAAAGGAAGATTGGTGGCGTCTGTGAAAGTTCTGAGTGTATCAAACACTTTGTCCATGGGAACAGAGAAGTAGAGAGCTAGGATACAGCTGGTCTTGTGGCCTACAACACCCCCGCCCTTCGCTGTGAGCTCATCGACCGGATGCTGTGGGCTTTTTTTTTTGGCCTTGTCAGTGGTAGAGACCCCTGTCCTCCCTCCCTCCTCTTGTTTTTGGGCCGTTGAGTGTTTCTTTGCGTTGTTGTTTCTTTTTTCTGCTTTTGTCCTGTTCCGTGTCATAGATTTGGTAATTGTTTGTGACCTGGATATGTATGTTAACAGGAAACCTTTCAGAAAAATGTGTTTTCCAGTTTGTGATAATTTGTCTTGCTGGCAAGTGTTTGGCCTCAAAAGACTACTAGAGCTGCTGGTCCCATGGAAGAAGTCCGGGCAATACGGCCACTGCCCCACCTCACCCTTCCTGGAACAGGTGTTGCTTGGTTTAGGTTGGATGTCTAATGATTTCATGAGGTTTAAAGTGGTAGTTCTTGTGATACCTTACAGTTTGGTGATAGCAAAATAGGGCAGGTATCAGTACATGTATTACTTTGCTTAAAAAGGCTTACTCATACCTTTCAATGGGGCGTTTGTAAAATAGGGCAGGTATTACTTTTTTCTGAATGTGTATTTTCTTTCTCAAAAACGCTCATGGCACTTATGGCACGGTGAACAAGGAGGTACACTGTGCAGGGCTAAATATTTCTAACCAGAACTTAGCTTTTGCATTGTTTGCAGGATCCAGAGGTTTTATGAAACCATTCTCTTGACAGCAAGATGCTTTTTAAAGGATGGAATCTCTGTGTTTGCAAAAGACTGTCTGTGTTCTTATTGGAGTGTGTGTCTAAATATGTTGCAGTGAATGTGTGTGTGTGTGTGTATATATATATATATATATATATATATATATATATATATATATATATATATATATATATATATATATATCACTATATAAATATCATGAATTCTATTGTTATTTCAGAGAGTCATATGTGTTGTGTGGAAGTGACTGTAGCCCCATCTGTCATTTCCTAGCTGTGAGCGTAGTTGATTTATTACTCCCTGTAAGTAGTGCAGCCCAGTTCCTCACCCTCTGGTTTAGCAATACACTGTGGATGAATGAGCAACTATGCATGTTTGGCCTAGTTGACTTAATTGTAGGGATGGTATTGTGATATGATATGATATCGGTGACACGATACTGACGTACTGCAACATAGGACAAGTACACATGTATGTACTTCTTGCACTTGTATAGCCATTAGTTTCACACCCACTTGTGTCAACTACTAGAGGAGCCTCTTTGTGCGATGTGTGTATGTCATGTGTGCTCGCATGTAGGTGTCTGTGTATGGGTGTTTGAGTGTGTGTCTGTGTGTGTGTATGCTGGATGTTTGCCACTTGTGATTGCATGCTGGGCAAAGTCAACAAAGAGTAGAATATTTGATATGTTTTGCCATACAAGCAGAGGGCGAATGTGAAGTGAGCTGCGCCTGCATCACCCACTCTACACATCATACTTCTTCCTCTGGTCAGTGAGAATTGAATTTTTAAAGTTCTATTTATATTTTGATGTGCATTGCCTTTATGTAATTCCATATCTACTTATAGAGTGCAAGGTTTCCAAAGTTTCTTTTGTTCTGGCTGAGAAAAAGTTGTCTTTGTTATGCTGAAGCCATGGAGAAAAGATTTCAGTCCTTCATTCAGATAGACTGAATGT